ATTGAGTTGTGCTCATATTCGATTCACCTGTGGTTTTGCTGCCCCGTGCAAGATTGAAGGGCGGCGGGTAGCGATGCAATCGGAATCTCACCTCGGGCGCCTCGCTCTTCTTCTGGGGAGGAGGGCTTCATAATCTCGATCTAACGTTACTCAGGGCCCGGCATCCCTAAGCGGGACCGTGCTGTGTAACTACCGCTTCTCTTGGTGGAGGCCCTGAGCTGGATTCATCATTCCGGGAAATTACAGCTGTTTCCGAAATCCTTGAGACAACATCAAAGTTTTTGCGCTTTTGCAACTTTTGATGGAGTGCAAGGACTACCGGATCTGGAAGCTCGGATCAGCGCACATTTCGGGATGTCCTGTCACCACCAGCCCCCGCCGTTGAGTTACCTTTGAGGGTTTGATATGCACCCCTCATGTATCAGACACATACACAGATGATACTATCCGACTCAGAACCCTCCCAACTGGTCTCATCAGCAATGGCTGGAAGACAATGTGGGTGAGAGAATTGGAGCTCGGCTAGCCTCGGCTCTGCACGGCAACGCCAGATCCGGTAATCCTTAGCACTCCATCAAAAGTTGCAAAGACACAAAAATTTTAAAAGGATTTCGGAAACAGCTGTAAGCACCCTGGCAAGGCGATGAATCAAGTAGAAGCTGGGCGATGGTGGATCTCTGAAAGCCTGTAAATTTCAACTTCAACACCCCTGCAACGTCGATCGGAAGGCGGGAACGCGTATCAAAGCTGTGTTCATCAGTGATGCGATCCCGATCATCTGCCGTCCCGAGCTCGGGTATTTAGCGCCGTGTATTTATAGTATGGCCTTCCGAAGCAGCTCGTGGGCATTACAATTCCCTCCTCCCGCCATGACGATCCACCACATAGCTGCGATGCTCATCCCAGCATGGGGGCATACCGTCAGCTACTTATGCGTTGCGACTCAAATGCTTCAGAGCGATCCTACTCTGGTAATTACCCTCGTTCAGCACAGTACGATGGGTTCGTACTACGTCCCTACACGGGCAATCGGATCTGCATTGAATGTTATCCCAGTTGCACAAATGGAGGCAGAGCTGAAGACGTTCGCTTACGATAACGCCAGACTCCGAATCATAGGAGTGGGCGAGAAAAAGTATGTCCTGCGGTTCATCTATATTTGGCGTGTCTCACAAGTCGTTTGTCTAGCCTTGAATTTGGACCTACTATGGTCATGCAAGCCTTCGGCCAAATTATTGGCGGGTGGATAGAAACCGTCCCCCGACTGGCTCAAGGAAGCGAAGGGTGGCCGAAGCCGCATGCTCTCCACGTATGTCCGTCGTCAACTCTTCCGCCGCTTCGTTTCGCCCAGCATGTTCTCGCAGATGGACTTTTTCGGTGGAGGATTCGTGATCGAACCAACAAAGCAGATCATGGGTTCAGACTGTAAAGTGCTTCTGTGGTTCTCGAGCTCGCTGGCTTCCATGCCAGCCCATTTAACCGACTACGACTTTACCGCGATAGCGCAAGAGATATATGCGGACGATGCTCGGCGCCAGGGACGCTCTATGGACGATATTTTAGATCAGGTTTGCATCCTCCGTTAACTGCGCATCGCGGCCCGTTGATGCTATTCACGTATCAGGTTGCGTTGGCGTGGAACGGGACCGACAAGCTCTCTGGGCGCGTCGTCAAGTGCCCTGGGGTCCCCGACATGTGCGACTACGAGCGCGTCGCCTGGGGAGCCGGGGCGCCCCAAGGCATCGCGAAGCTATTCGCCACCGCGTTCAAGTTCGACAAGCTCGTTGACGGGCATATCGTCCCCACCAATATCTGTATTGAGCCCGTCGGGATTCCGTACTGCAGGGAATTCTACCAGAAGCGCGGACAGGAGCTGTTTACGATCGGGATGCAGGCTCACGAGCTTTGCTGGACCGACGCCGCGCCCACCCCACCTACCAACGATGTTGTTAGATCGTTCTTGGATGAGGCAGTGGCCAAACACGGCGCTAGATCCGTTCTCTACATCTCTTTCGGGTGCGCCCATTGCTTTATCTTTCCCTTGTAGGACTGACGCTTCCAAGGTCTCTGTTCTTCCCGCTCGCCACGCCGGAACTTGTCGAGGCGTTGGTGGACACGCTCCTTGCCCTCGAGAAGCCCTTCCCCTTCGTTTTCGCGCTGGGAGGCAAGCTGGCCTCCCTTCCGAAAGAGCTCATCGACCGCGTCAACTCGAGCGGCAAGGGGCTCATCTGCGCGTTCTGGGTCGAGCAGCGCGCAATCCTCCAGCACGGCGCCGTCGGATGGTTCCTCTCCCATGGGGGTTGGAAGTGCGTGATTGCAATTTTGTACACGGTGCCTTTGCTCATAACTTTTCCAATTTTCCTATTGCAGCTCCACGTCCGAGTCTCTGTTGCAAGGAATCCCGCTAATCGTGTGGCCGACGAATGCGGAGCAGCCCGTCAACGCCGCGCTCCTCTCCTCCAGCGCACGTCCCGTCGCGATCGAGCTCATGCAGGCAGGTTCTTTCTCATTCGCGCCGACATTGAAACCTGATTTTCGCTCCGAAGGTCCGCACTGGCCCACAGCTGGCACCCCCCCTTCGGGGCGGGCCCACACCTACCGGCACGATCGAAGATGCGACCGCGGAGTTCAAGACGACTTTCGATGCAGCGCGCGGGCCGAAGGGCGCGGCCCTGACGGCGAACGCGGCCGAAGTGGCGCAGGCTTTGAGAGCGGAGCGCAAAGGGGACGTGGCAGCAGAAATTGGGCGGCTAGCGCGGTTTTAAATTGAGAAATTAGAGAGTGAAGGAGTAGACTAAAATTTGTAACGTTGGAGCGCTAAACGTTATGACATTTTTGGATCTTAGGAAATGTGTGGGATGTAGAGAGAGCAGAGTTGTTGCAACCTATAGCAGTCGGCTCAAAATTGAGATCCAAGCAGATTCAACCCAAACTGCACGCACTAACCGACTAAAAACCCCCGTATCTTCAAATAACCCGCGTACAGCCCCTGCCTTGGCGAAGAAAGGAACAAGCTAAATACTCGGGTGTGGTGTACGGTGTACATACCGCGCATCTTCCTTAAAGCAGCTTGAGGGTAGCGTGCAGACCGGGGTTCGACTCCCCGCGCCCGACTAGAACACTGTCGACCCTTTTTGGGAGCTTCAGCTTCAGCTTCTAATCGTTCAGTTGCTGCAAGTAGATATGGAACTGGCCCATAAGTCACCGTGTATGCTCTCTTGAGGTCCGGCGCGGCTACAAAAAAATTCGAACTGATGATGCACAATTTATCCACCAAAGGGGAAATTCCGAACAGAGTTAACTCCCAAGTAGCACGCTCTGAGCATTCGTTGGCTTCAAGCCTCGATTTATTTTTTGAGTAGCATTCTCGCACAAATACTCCCTGCCTTGGCGAAGAAAGGAACTCGGCTGTGGTGTACGGAACACCGCGCGTCTTCTTAGAGTTGGGAAATGGTATGTAGCGCGCAGTCCGCGGTTCGACTCCCCGTGCCCGAATTAAACTGCATTTCTCATTGTTTTTCTTTCTCCTTTCTTTTTTATCCGGAGCTTTCACCTTCGCATCCTTTAGATTAAGGTCTGGGTCGATGCGCAACCCACCTCACAAACGACTGCTTCTACTTTCTGTTGCTGGCCGGCGCTACAAATTCCAGCTGATGCTACGAAATTTATACACCCAGGAAAATCGGAACCTCAACTGCTGTGAACGTTGGCTTCAAGGCTCCGACTTAGGGAAGGGACAAGGAGGGTAAATATTCGGGTGTGGTGTACAGAACACCGCACGTAGTCTTACCAAAGATGTGGCACAGTGGCGCACAGTCCGGGGTTCGACTCCCTGCACCGGAATGAGCCTGGAGCTAAGACTGTTTGCTGTCTTTCAGTGTCAGATTGCCTGGGGCTCTTCGTATCTGGGGCTAGCCCGCGGCCGCTTGGCTGTTCCGAATTTGCGTTCGCCCTGTGCAAAATTAAGGCACAAATCAACCAGGACCAAAGAAATCTCGGTTGCTGAGTTGCAAGGCTGCAAAATGCCCCGTTCAAATCCTCACTTGGCAAGGGGACAAGATGGGTGAAATAATCGGGTGTGGTGTACGGAACACCGCGCGTCTTCATCCGCACTGCGTGAAGCATTAGCCCGCAGACCGTGGTTCGACTCCCCGCACCCGAATCAGCCTGTATCGCGTGGGCTTTTTTCCCCCTCGACGTCGAATGCCTGTTGTAACTCTCCCACAGCATCGCGTTTGCCCTCTGTTTGGGACGGGTGAACCGAGGCCACACAACATCGCTCATTCAAGATCGCAGAAATTCGGTCGATTTTTGAGTAGCATCCCTGCACAAATTCCCTCACCAAGCCTTGGCTTAACGAAGGACTGCGCAGGGTAAAAATTCGGGTGTGGTGTACGGCACACCGCGCATCTTCCTATGCATTTGATGGCGCTGACATTGAAGTGCGCAGTGCGGGGTTGGACTCCCCGCGCCCGAATGTTTAAAGAAGGGCATTTTTTTTACATTTGATTTTTCAGTGTCGGTTCTTTGTGGACGGACCATTGGCCATGGGACGCTAGGAGACATGCAATTGCCTCAGGCTGGCCCGAAATTTGTGCTGATGGAACGGCTCATCACGGGTCGAGGTGAAACTCACCTTCTGATTAGCACATCCTATAAAATTCCTCACTTAACCAAGGACAGTGTAGGCTAAATATTCGGGTGTGGTGTGCGCAACACCGGGCGTCTTCATAGAGTCGATACATGTCGCATATAGCGCGCAGTCCGGTGCTCGACTCCCCGCGCCCGAATGAGCCTGGAGCTGGAGTTTTTTTTCTTTTTTCAGAGGTCTATTCCTGGAGCGCTCCCACAGCCTGGTTTCGCGTTCATTTTTTACTCTTAGGTCACTGCAAAAGTCATTCAGCGGGACTCGAAGAAACCTCGTTACTCGCCAACTGAGCAGTACTGCAAAATTATCTCCAAAGTCCCTGCCTTGGCCTCAGACCGGACAGAAGAAATAGTCGGGTATGGTGTACGGTACATCGCGTGCCTTCATAACATTGATAGCCTTTGAATGTTAGCGCGCAGTCCGGGGTTCGACTCCCCGTGCCCGAATGTGCGTGGGGAAGAAATTCTTTTTCGATCCTCCTTTCTCTCGACAAGTTCGATTCGAGATCCTGCAGGCACGGTGAGACTTAAGGCCCTTTCCCTGCCTTAGCATTTATGGTCTCTGCAGGACGCTGCGAACGGCGTATTCAAAACCGGGTGCGACAAAATGTGTTCACCCACCCTGATTGGGAGGGGCAACACCCCAGACGTCGCTCGCCAAGTCCCTGCCATAAACAAGGACGGAAGAGGGTAAATTACTCGGGTGTGGTGTACGGCACACCGCGCGTCGTCTTACCAAAGAGATGGCACAATCATGATGGCGCACAGTCCGGGGTTCGACTCCCCGCTCCCGAATTGGTCTCTAGCTTCCAGTTTTTTTTTTTGAATCTCTCGTCCCCGGCGTTCGGAGGCTGCCACCTGGTTACAGTACTGTTTCCCCGCAAGTCGTTCGCTTCCTAGCTCCCGAATGGTCGGAAGGACGGATTTCTGTCTCTTGCCGCTTCAATTCCTCTGACTTCGAATTCCTGAGGGGCGACTTACACCTGAAATGGTTTCGCGTTCATTTTCTCTCTCTCTTAGGTCATTGCAAAAGTCCTTCAGCGGGACTCGAAGAAATCTCGTTACTCACCAACTGAGTGGCACCACTGCCAAGCTGCTCTCCAAGTTCCTGCCTTAACCAAGGTACGCACAGGGTAAATACTCGGGTGTGGTGTACGGCACACCACGCATCTTACTACGACTTGATTTTCCAGACGTTGGAGCGCGCAGTCCGGGGTTCGACCCCCCTCGCTCGAATATTAGTGTTGGAAGGGAGAGGACTTTTATTGCATTTGATTTTTCAGTGCCAGTTCTTTGCGGATCTGGGGCGAGGCGTCCGCTTGGCTTTTCCGAAATGGAAACTGAAGGCACACATCAACCCGCAGTACAGAAATGCAGAAAGTCGGCTTATGCGTTGCAGTGCTGCAAATGCGCTCTCTAAATCCTCACTTTGCAGGGAGACGAAGAGGACAAGGACCCGGGCGTGGTGTACGGAACACCGTCCGTCTTGATGTAATCGTGCAGTCAGCGCTGTAGTGCCCAGTCCGTGGTTTGACCCCCCGCGCCCGAATGTTGGGGACCTTTTTTACATTTGATTTTTCAGCGTCAGTTCTCTACGGGCCAAGTGTGAGGCCCAGGCCCCACGGGCTCGGGGCGGGCGGGGCGGCGGCGAAGAGCTGCGCGTGCGCAGGCAAAATGAACATCGTAACAGCATCGAGGACCAACGGAGGACAAGCCAAAGATAAAAGACCCTGATCCGGTCGAGGCGTCTTCATTGCCTCCCGCCTCGCCTGTCTATCATACATAAGAATCCATCCGTGTGTCTCGCAGATCCTCAATTCATTCGTCCATATGCGCATCGGTCCATCGACAGCCCCGCACTGGAGCTGTGCAACTTGTGCAAGTCGTACAACAACAGAGGATAAGCACGCCGGCGTGTGAAGTGGCTTGCTGATGGCGTGCCATGATCGGCATTAAAGGTAACGCAAGCGGGTACCCGCCGGAAGATGCCGAGACACCAGCTTATAGGGTAGGGTCGGCGACCTCTTAATTCACTTTTTGGAATTTTTGTAGAACCTTCTGAAAATGTGTTTAGAAGGGTCAGGGAAAAAAATGACTTTTTTGCAGCTCGTCTATTGGTGCGGATTACTCACGAATGGGTGCTTGATTGCGGCTCAAAATTCGGATTTTCAACAATCTGTCTGGGAAAATTACCCGATTTGGGGCTTACATAACTCGGCTGATAGCATTAAGCCACTTTTAGGAGTGGGTGTAGGAGATTTTTTTTATGGGTACCCCTTGAGCGTGCTTACGCGCCAGCCATTGATCGCCTCCTCGTGTGCTACATCTATTACATGAATTAACGCTGTCCCTCGTCGCCGGTGGTCGCCGTTGGCGTTGACGACCTCTCGTACTACCCGTCTCGTCTCGACCGTTAACGTTGAGCCCACCTTTGCGTTGGGGACGTCCCAGCCCCTCGACGCCGCGATACGTCACCGGTGCTCGAGGAATCGAATGGCGTCCGGCCACGTACGCCCGCTTCTCCTTCCCTTACTCCCCCTTAATTCTCCTACTTCGAATTCTATTCTACTCGCTCATCGATTTCCCGGCCCTGATCACGTTTCCCCACAAGCCGGAAGATACCCCGCACAGTGACATACGTCTGCGAATCTTATCTCGTGCGTCCGAATAGCGTGGTGACGTGATGATATAGATATCGCGGGGCTCGAGCCTACGTGTCCTGTTCTCGAAGGTCCCGGCGACTTATCAGATAATACCGCTCTATCCTCGTGAGCCGCGCGCATCTTCGCCCTCCCGAAATTCATGCGAGCCTGGGCTTGGCTGTATCTAATAAGTTAGTAATAGTAATAATCTAATTTGCATACCTCCGGCCCCGGGCTCGCGGCCGCGCACGACGTAGATCCATCTCTTCCCCGCGCATGCGCCAGTGCCAGCCCACAAGCCAATCCAATCCCCTGCACGGTGCACGCATGCGCAACTTTCCTCCGTGCGAGTGCGCCTTCAAGCGAGCAAGCCCCTCCCGGGCGATTTCTCACAGCCACCGAACATACTTTCCGTGACACCCGCCGGCGGCGTCTGCGAGTTCTACATATCCTCGTACGCTCCTCAAATGCGATTTATGCGAATGTTAATTGATGGCCTCCCCAAGTGCGCCGCCGCCTCCAGCGCTGATCTCGTGAACATCGCACATAAGGCGTCGAATCTCCGGGCCGAGTACATGAAGCATCAGGCAATAATCTTGTCTCGATCATAATTTGTTCACCCTCGCGGAAATTCGAGACCTCGGCTGCTGAGGACTCGGAGCAGTGCTGCCAACGGCCCGGTTGAAATCCACACGTGGCAAGCAGAAAAGCAGGGTAAATCATCGGGTGTAGTGTACGGAACACCGCGCGTCTTCTTGGAGTTCACAAGGACAAGGGTAGCGCGCAGCCGGGGTTCGACTCCCCGCACCCGAATAACCAGCGTTTGCAGTTATCTTTTGATCAGCCTCCGTTCGAGCCACGCTATGGTGCCAGCAGTAGGAGCGCTGGAGAATTCGGAGCTCTCCCTCTTGGCTTTTGTAAGCCCATCGGTTGCTCCGAATTCCTTCTGCCAAGAACCGAATTCACCCTCCTCGCGAACATGTATACTTCTCCGTAGCGACACCCCAAAATTCGCGTTTAAGTCTACGTCGCTTAACGAACGAAGGAAAGGACTAAATAATTGGGCGTAGTGTACGGAGCACAACGCGTCTCCTTAGGTTTGAGTATATGAATGAAGGCCGCGCGTAGCCCGGGGTTCGACTCCCCGCGCCCGAATTATGCTGCTTTCTTTGTTTTAAAAAAAAATCTTCTCGGGCTCTCTCTCAGCTTGGAACCCTCAGCTCTCAGGTGCAGGTGGTGTTTTCGCCACAAATCGGCCTCTAGAAGAAGAGATCTGCTCTGAAAGCTAATGTTGCCTCTGCATTCGTTTGACTGAGGAATACCTATAATTAAATTCTTCAAGTCCCTGTCTTAAGCAAGGAACGAACAGGCAAAATAATCGGGTGTGGTGTACGGAACACAGCGTGTCTTCGTAAATGATCAAGAAATTTGCAGCGTGCAGCCCAGGGTTCGACTCCCCGCGCCCGAATCAGAATTACATTTGCTTTTCTTCTTTTTCGACCTTCCAACTTAAATTCCTCTGAGCGTAAATTCCTCCGGATGCGATGCATGGTCACAGTATATCGCGCGCACAGGTCCTCGTGCTGCTTAACCCAGCCAGGGCCCAGCACAGAAATTCGGAATCTCGCTAGCATCTCTAGAAAATTCCTTCCGAGACTATCCCTTAGCGGAGCTACGAGGAAGTGAATTCATCGGGTGTGGTGTACGGAACACCGCGCGTCTTCTTTACAAATACAGAAGGACTATAACGCGCAGTCCGGGGTTCGATTTACACGCCCCCTCGCGCGGTCCTGATTCGGTTCTTCCAAGAAATGACGGACAACATTTATTCACGCCGCAAATCTAATTATATACCCAGGAAATTCGGAACCTCAGCTGCTGAGAAGGATGCTGTGAGCGTTGGCTTCAAGTCCCCGACTTAGTGATGGGATGCATAAGGATAAGTATTCGGGTGTGGTGTACGGAACACAGCAGCTATTGTTAAGCAATGACCAAGAACTTTGTTAGCGTGCAGTTCGGGGTTCGACTCCCCGCACCCGACTCGCCAATGCTTTACGCATTTTTGACTCCCCCTTTTTTTTGGCTTCGACTTCCTCAGGTGCGGTTCAGCTGAGGGGCCTTTCACAACGTCGCTTCCATGCTCTTCTCCTCGAGTGGTCGAGCCGAGGCTGCAACATACTTCGACTTGAAATCGCATCGCAGAAATTTGGAACTGCAGCTTCGGAGGCCCACCGCTACGCTGCGAAATTCGCTCCAAGTCGCTACCTTGAAGAAGATGCAAAGAGGCGAATTAATCGGATGTGGTTTACGGAACAAGGCACGTCTTCTTCGATGGCGACCGTTTCGGTCATAGCGCGCAGTCAGGGGTTCGACTCCCCGCCCGAATGAATGGTTCCCACTATTTGTTTTTCTCACCTTCCAATTCGACACGGGGCCTGGCACTCTATCTCCACTGGTCAGTTCATAACTTACATGTATACTCGAGGGCATGCGGCGCGCCCGCAGCGTTAGGAACTGGAACGCCTTCAGCAGACCCTGATGCGACAAAATCTATTCACCAAGGAAATTAGGAGCCGCGGTTGCTGAGTAGCAAAGCTACAAAATTCCCTAGCTAAATCCTCACTTAACCAAGGGGCGAAGAGAGTAAAGAATCGAGTGTGGTGTACGGTACACAGCGGGCCTTCATATCGGTATATAATGATGGTAGCCTGCAGCCCGCGGTTCGACTCCCCGCACCCGAATAGGAACTTTACCCTCCACCCCTTTTTTGTGTCCTCTTTCACTATTCAGCCGCGGAGTCCTCCCCAAGCCTGGGACTACATGCATGCGCTCCGGGGGTGACTCTGCGGAGATACCTGATGCTTCAATGTTTTTTCTATTATGCAACCAGCACCACAAAAGACTACCTCAACTCTGGCGTATCAACCCTCACAAAATGCCCTATCCAAATCCGCACTTGGCAAGGGGACAAGCAGGGTAAATTATCGGGTGCGGTGTACGGGATACCGCGCGTCTTCATGCGCATGCGAGTCATTGTAGCGCGCAATCCGGGGTTCCCCGCGCTCGAATGTCGTAATCCATCAATTTTTGATCTTCCTTCTTTTGCTTCAGATTCCTAAGGTGCGGGGAGCTTGCAGTCCTTTCACGGCATGGTCTTCATCTCCCTAAAACGGTCGGACCGATGCTACAACATCTATTCAACCGCATCACGGAAATACCTCGCCTTCTCAATATATATTAATATCTGCCCAACAAATCATCCCTCCAAGCCCTGCCTTGACTAGTGCTGGGCAAATATGAATACGATACGGCAAATGGTGTATCATATTCATATTCATATCGTATTCACCTCTGAGAGGTCGTATCATATTTGTAGTGTATCATATTCATATTTTGGAGGGTGAATATGAATATACTTTGAGCACTAACCTGGCTGAAAAATTGTCTTCGACTAGCCCCTAAAGACTCCAGCATGGATGTTCCTGTGTATGGGAATTGCTCACCAAAAGATGTGGACATGGACTTTGTATTTACTATTCTGGTTCTGGTGGTCGGCAAATCTCAACTGTCATCAACATCAAAGATCATCCCAATTTTGATGGTTCAATGCCTGGCATACCAATGTCAGGGCGACAAAAAACCACTTCACCGTATTCAAATATATTTGAATACGACTGGACCTGTATCGTATTATATTCATACTGATTCGGGTGTACCCGTATTCTCAGTTGACCCTGGAGGCCATATCATATTCATATTTCGTTGAATATATCCAAAATATATTTGACCGTATCGTATTTTTGGCCAGCACTAGCCTTGACGAAGGGAAGAGCAGGGTAAACGCTCGGGTGTGGTGTACGGAACACCGCGGGTCTGCGTTGATGTTGCGGCAAGGTCAGCCCGCAGTCCAGGGCTCGACCCCCGCACCCGAATGACTGATGGTGTCCATTATTATTTTTCTCACCTTCAAATTCGACTAGCTGCCTGGCACTCTATCTTCGCTGGTCAATTCATAACTTCTACTCCAAGGAGCTGTGGACCCTTTCTTCAAAACCTGATGCGACAAGATTTATTCACCCAAGTGTAAGTTCGGTTGCTGAATACCAGTGCTGCGAAATAGAGAGTTTGCGCAAAAGCCGCAAAAGCCGCACGCGGCTTTTTTGCATTGCGCAAAGCCGCGGGGTTGATTTAAATTACACCTTTAAAACCAATTCAAAACTGGTATTTTGGAGTTGGAAACTGGTCTGTACTAATACGCAATGTCATGTTGACACCTTGGTGGCCCAGGCGTGGGAGAATCAACATGTGACCGCATCAATACCGCTTTGATTTTCGCTCCAGCGAGCCACTCAGTCCTCAGGTGTCAGTTTCTACAATGACTCGGGGCAAGAGACGTGCCAAAGCCAGTCCCTCTACGACCCGAACACGGCGCTCGACACGTTTACAGGCTAAGAACAACGATGAAGCTCCCGAAATACATTCTGCACACGCTTCCCCCGCGCGCGATGAAAGCCCACCTTGGCTGGGCATAGAAGGGAGCCATCTGCCATCGGACGACGACAGCATCCACAGCGACCCTCAGTGGCCCTCGTCCCCCGAGATAGATGAGAAAACACAAGCGAGACTGACGTCACCCACGTCATACCTTCACTTCGTCGGAGTTGGCAGTTCAGGTTCACTGGACAGCAGGCCCGACGGCCGGTACAGCGCAAAAGTATACACATTCTGCTCATATACATTTGTTACAGGGCTCACAGGCAAGATTTCCCCGTGCGGCTTTGCGCAATGCAAAAAAGCCGCGTGCGGCTTTTGCGCAAACTCTCTAATGGCGAGGGGACAAGCAGGGCAAAGAATCGGGTATGGTGTACGGAACACCGCGGGTCTTAATACGTTACAGTTCAGAAATTTACAGCTCGCAGTCCGGGGTTCGACTCCCCGCACCCGAATATCCCCCGAATATCCGGGCATTAATTGGGGTTTTCCTCGACGTCTAATGCCTATTGTAGCCCTCCCCAGCATCGCGTTCGCCCTCTTTTTGGGACGGTTGAACCGATGCCACACAACATCGCTCAATCAAGATCGCAAAAATTGTGACGGTCGATTTTTGAGCAGCATGCTTGCACAAATAATCCTGGAAACTTGAATCTGCAAATGCCATTGTTTAGCGAAGGAAGGAGAGTAAATAATTGTGTGGTGTGCGGAACATTGCGCGGCTCCCTGTGGTGAAACTAAAAGGGAAACTGTTAGCGCGCAGCCCGGGGTTCAACTCCCCGCACCCGAATTGAAGATCCGAGTCAACCTTTGTCTTACCCTCAGCTTCTAATCCTTCAAGTATATGTGGAGTCCTCCCACATAATTACCGTCTATGCTCTCTCTGAGGTCTGGCGCTACAACTTGAAATTCGAGCTGATGCTGCACAATTTATTCACCCAGGCGGAACTTCGGCTTCTCTGGAACGGCAACACCACAAATTTGCTCAGCAAATCCTCAATTGGCAGAGGAACCAGAGAAACAGGCAGGGTAAATACTCGAGTGTGGTGTAAGGCACACGACGGGCCCTTTTTCTTGATAACCATGAGAGTATGTAGCGCGCAGTCCGGAGTTCGACTCCCCGCACTTGAATTCTGGGCCCGAATACCAGGTTTCTTTTTTTGGGTCGCATCACTCAAAGCTGCAAGTCCTCCAGGTATGGAGCGTTCGCCTAATATTAGCATGTGTACTCTCTATAGGACGTTCTGAATTTTTAAACACCGATGTTGCAAGAGGATCACATAATTAGAGAACCTCACCTTCTGGGATCACCCTGCTTTAAC